TTGTGCCTGTAGTTTATAAATGTGTATGTACTGTAGTGCACATTTCAAGAATTTATTAGAGTAAAAATAAGTTGAAGAATATAAACTGTTCACATTTTAACATAAATTCCATAATGCCTAATTTAAATGTAGGAGACAGGATCAAAACATAAGCTTAATTCGTAGGCCTAGTTTTTAAGAAATTTGATTCAAACTCATTTTATTTTTCACTGATAAATGGTTACACAGACATAAAAAGGTTGCCCTAAACTAAGAGTCAAAAATTAGTTTTTAGTGTTTGAAAATGTTTTTAATAGATGACTGCATCTGCATTTTAGTTCTCTTCTGCAATGCAGTGTCCCTCCACTTATGCAAACAGACGGTATCAGCTGGCTTTGTTTCCTCCTGCTGACTGATATACTATAACGCTGCTTCAATCGTTTTGAGTCCTTTCAAATGTCAGATGATATTTTTCCTGTCATCCAAGAGTTCCTGCTCCCCTTTTTCCGTTACTTCTCCATTTGTCACCATTTCTATAATATCATTGTCAGTTATTTCATCAACTTTGTCATTTGCCATCCTTTCTATAATGTCCTCTGCAGTGATAGCCCGGCACTTTTTCCAGCAATGAAACAAGTGTAGCATTTCCATCTTCCACTTCAGTTTCGCACATTGGTTCAGGGTTGGAATGCCCACTTTCATGGTCCAAGATAATTTTCTAAGACCTTACAAGTGATATCTTTGAAATCTCATCCCATGCTTCCGTTGACCATCTTATGACATCTAGCATGTCAATCTTTTTCAGAATGGTTACGTATTCCTCATTATTAACAGTTGCTGATATCAGTGAGCTGAGGAGTTGCTGGCAATATTTTTTCTTTAGCTGTTTGAGGATTCCCTGGTCCATGGGTTACATTGTCCACAGCTGTTACATTAGGTGGCAAAAATAAAGCTTTGATCACCCCATGTGCAAGTTCATCAGTGGCCAGATGCGAAGGTGCATTTTTAAGAATTAACTGAGCTTTTCTTGGCAAATTGTTGTTTTTCAAATGCTTTTCAACAGTTGGAACAAATTCATTTTCGAACCAGGTTTTAAAAATTTTTGAATTCATTCATGTTTTTTTCATGTGTGTAATATAGGAGCATCGATTCCTGATCTTTTTAGTTTTTTAACAGCTCTAGGTTTCCTAGATTTTCCTGTTAGTGCCAACCTAAGCTTGTGATTGCCGGTTGCATTGCTGCAAGCCAAAATGGTGACTCGTTCTTTTCATTTCTTGTATCCGGATGCAGTGGCTCCTTTTTTCAATGCAAGTGTTTTTGCATGGAGCATCTTATTATTTAAACCTGCTTCGTCACAGTTGTATAACTGCTTCCCAGAAATTTCCTCTTTTTCTATAAGCTTGAAAAGATGGTCTTGGAACACAGGTACAGCCTCTTTATCAGCTGATTAACCCCCGTTTACAGTAATCTGGGGGAATGCCAAATCATTTTTCCAGTGATATAACCAATACACCAATAGCAGTAAATGCTGAATTTTGCTGTTCTATTTGTCGCTTAAATTCCAAAGCTTTTTCCTGCAATTTATTGGCCCAGTTATAGGTATACCTATTTCTCTTAAGTGTTCATGCCACAAAAATAAAGCTTCCTCAATTTCTTTATGCTTAAGAACCATGGTTTTTCCACTTCAACTAGCTTGTGCAGCATAGCACTCTTCAATTTCTGTTCTTCCCACCCCCCAGTCTCCAACTGTACTTTTCTCAACTCCTAACTCGGAAGCTGTATTTTTTGCTGTTGCATCTTAGCCACTGTATAGTGCATAATTTCTCCTCCATAGTCACTACAACTTTTTTTCGTTTGTCACCCATTTTGAAATCTTCAGTAATACTCGGTATTATACTGCAGTACACTTAAGAACCTTAAGCACACCCCCAAGAACAATTTACAAATACTTTTCAGTTATACTGTAATCAGGAACAGCGGCAAACTTACTGTATTGAAGCTCACTACACACTGATGAAACATTGAACAAAGAGCAGAATGCTGCTCTTTTCTGTCACAACATGTATTTTGCATGTGATACATTGGGGGATTGTAGCAGACCCCCACTTCCAGTGCCAGGGCCATGCAATTTGTTTCTCATCTAATTACAATAAAAGAAAACTAGGCCAGATAGTTATGAACTGGATACTCAGGAGTCTACTGGTAGTTCAAAAAGTGTTAAATAAAGATGAAAAAAATGGCAAAGCATGTAAAGTATAATAAAAATAAATCAGATCAAAGAAATACATTGATTTAAACAAACAAAAAAGACCTAAAAAACTCTCCATAAAATGGTGTATCAATAAGCTCCAAAATGTAGTTGAAAACATTAGATAATGAAGGAAAGGTTTTACAAAAACATGTAAATATAATAATAGATTAAAAAAAAGTACAATTAAAAGCAGTATCTATTTTATCTGAAGTCACACAATAAAAAGAAGGAAAAAAGATAATACTGATGTGCTAGCTGAAATGGAAAATGAGGCAAAAATGGAATTATGGGGTTTTCCCCAGAATTTTTACTTGATCACTTGGTGCACCACAAAGAGGAAAGACTATAAGCAAACAAGAAAAAGAAATCAGTGAGAAGCTTTAATTAACAGAAAGTGAGCAAAATACATGTAAGTAAAAATTAAGATGGTGCATGATATTTAAAGCAAAAATTGTAGCAATTTATAAATTAAGATTTTCAGTTACCAACAAAATAAACAGGAAAAGAAAAAAATCAAAGACACAAGATAAAATCTTCACACAAAAGTAGCTGCCTTGGGGCTAGAAGAAAGTTGGCCTTGTTAGTAACAGAAATCAGCTACCAGAATGAAATATTAAAAGTTTTTTATTGGCAAAAATTACACATCCACTATTAATCTCCCTGAGGGTTTAAATTAGATTCTTCATTTTAAGTTTTGTTTAAAGGATGTAATTAATATGAAGTTAATGTAGCTTTTTTTAATCATGCTTTTATTTAATTTTATTTATTTAATGTATTTACATATTTTGCCATTGGAGTTTATTGATACTCCACAATTTTTGCAAATTCAAATATTGCTCTCAATTTGGTAAAAGTGGAAAAGGAAATGGCAGAAATATTGAAAAAAAAACACTATAAAATGCTTAAACAACAAAATGCAAAAGAATAAGCCTGTTTCTATTAAAAAGCTATTTTAGAATAAATTTGAAATATACTTTAAAATACAATATAGAATTAAGTATAATTTTATACTAAAGTGTTATAAATAACTATTATTGTAAATAAATATTATTATGAATATTTTAATATTATAGTTATGCTATATCGGGTACACCACTATTGTGGTCTAGGTCATAACACATGTTCATTATATTGGAAGAGAAGAAGTTCACTTAGTAAAATAAATCATTCATCATCTTCACTATAACAAATTTTATATTTAACAAAAACAAGTTATAAGAATGCATGTGAACACCAGTGGAACCACACTGCTAATTGAGATACAAATATGATTACAGTTGGCAGTTTTAGGTATGTGAAATAAGGAAATTAAATAAATAGTTAGAATTTAAATCACGATCATAGTCCATGGCACGACAGACCAAGATGGGCCAAGGCCTTCTGAACTAGGTACTTCTAAACCACCTCTACTAGCAGACAAACTCTTCCAATTCTTAGTTTTAAGGACTAAATAATCCTCTGCAGCATCTACTCATTAACGTCTAGGTCTTTCCCTTCTTGTGTTACTTGGTCTAGCCAAAAATATTTCTTTTGGTATGTTACTGTTGTTCATGCAGAAAATATGCTCAGCCCAATTGAGGTGGCTTATTTTAATGTAATGAACAACATCTGTCTCTTTGAACGTTTGGTATAATTCGGTATTGCATCTTTTATGTTGGATAATATTTTTTGAATTCCTCCAAAAACACTTGTCAAGACATTGCATTTAAAAGGACCCAAGATGCCTTACTCTTTCATGGTTATAGTTCAGGTCTGCAAAGCATAAGTCAGGACAGGATGGATTAGGGTTTTGTAGAGTAATAGCTTTGTCTTCAGTAACAAAAAGCCAGATCTAAGTAAATGCCTTAATCCATGAAAAACTTGATTAGATGCAACAGTATGTGTCTTTATTTCAGGTAGAATATCATTTAAAAAATAAATAAGAATTCAGAAGTCCAGTTACTGTTAAACTGCCATATACCATAATTTCGGGTTGATAAGCCAGCCTCCCTGGCGTAAACGTGACACACATGATAATTGACTAAAAAAATGAAAATTCATCGGATAAGCCGCAACGCCGTAGCAAAGCATTCCGAGACATTGGCACTTAATATTCATTTATTCAACAATTCCCTGCGATAATGATGTAATCATCGTGGATAACATTTACAGCATAAATATAATCAGTAATATATAAATAAATAAGGAAGAAACATCTTACCTTGAACTTGCCGAAAACGAACTCTGATGATTTCTAATAGGTATTATTTTTCTATTATAAATCATCAGGGATCTCTCCTCTGCATAGATCTACAGGATAACTGCTAAAAGAAAATTGTATTTTGGCAAAATGACAGCCAGGGTTGCATTACTGATGGCTGAGCTGTAATAATTGACTTAAATTTATTAATAAACTGTTTAAATCAATAATTTGAAAATATTTGCAATTCTAAGCATGCACTATTTTTAGCATGGAGGAAGTCCACTTTATATATTTAAAAAAATAAAGTATTTTGTCTTAAAAATCTGTGATTATTAAAATTTATAAGATAATATTACACAAACATTGGTAATTACTATGTAGTAAATTACTCATAAATTTTTTTATAACTGAAAAATAATAAAACTGCAATTCCCTTCCCCCAGATTGCAAATATTAGCTTTGTAGATGTCTTTATGAGAGTTAAAATTTTTATTCATGTCTTATAAAAAATCTTTTTTTTTTCCAGATTAATTTAAATTATATTGATTACTGTTAATTTTTTAATATATAAAATGTGTGATTACATAGGTCTCATCCCCGCTATTAGCGCCTTCACCAACTGATATACCAATACCTCCACCATCTTATAAGAAAAAAAGTTATAGTAGGGAGTTTCTTTTAAACTGTGCTAACTCACCATTTAGCCATAACCAACCAGCAGATTATGCTCATATTCACCAAAACTTCCAAGATATCATATGCAAGGTAATTTTGTACATTTTATGTGATTATATTCTTGTATTTATTATAAAATATCAGTCAGTTAACTAAACTAACATTTTGTCTTTTTGTATACTGTTTACAGAAAAAGATAAAACCTCTAAAAAAGTTAATATTTAATGATCAATAATTTTCTGTTTCAAAATTTTGTTTGTGAATAATTGTTGTGTTTTGTTATTTAACATTACTACCAAAGAAAGTATATATATATACGTAAAAATAAAAAATGCAATGCCTTTGCTCTATGCAAGCAGGCAACCTCTAATTAACTTTCCACAACTTCAGGATCTTCCCCCTAGACCAGTACTTTCGAGAACATTCTCGCATGTTATGTAACTGCTACTATAAATGTAGAGTTTGTGCCATTTTTCGTCAGATTGCTTTCTCCTTCTGCTGTAAGACCTTAGCTGCCTTTCTTCCCATCTGTCTTCCTTTGTTTGAACAGTATGATACAATAAAGTTAATCCTATTTAGTTTAAATTACTATCGCGTATGTAATCTTGGAGAATCTAAAAGAATAATGATTAGCTATTTGAACTGAATAAGATGTGGAATCAAAACAGCTAACTTCTTCTCTGTCATCATTTGGATACCACCTTGCACTCACAGCCATTATGCAAGCTGATTACTCTTCTCTGTTCCCGGAAATGTTACATATATAATTAGGAATCTGCTGAAATAGACATGCATAACAATAGTGAGAAAGATAGACAGTTAAAAATTGTAAAACATTGAGATTTTAAGATACAGTACTGTTTAGTGATTTTTCAAATTTTCAAAATACAGTTTTGAAAATTTGGGAAGCTGCTATGCTGATTGACTCATAAAAGCATAAAATAAGTGAAGTCATAAAACACAAATTATTTTGGCTGTCAATCCTTAGTTAACTTAAAGTGAAAATTTGTACTGAACTGATGGAAATATAATCTTTGAAAAATTAGCCAATGACTCAATCTCCAAGAGCAGCAAGTAAGTCTTTCATAAAAGAGCTCTGTTTGGTGGAAGGGGTAATATCGACCAACAGTTTCTTAACTTTTCTGATGATTTTTTTTACTTTCTCTATTTTTGTTCTACAAAACATAAATCGATGGAAATAACAAGCACAGACAGCTTTCAATCGGTAATGTATTAAAACATTAAGTTCTTTGTTAGTTATAGCTGTAGATTGACGCCAACAAGCATTATGTCTTTCTCAGGGAGTAGACATATGGGAATTCAATATAGGTGAATTAGAACTCATATGTGGCAGACTAAGCATTTTAAGCTCCAGCCAGTGGCTTTTTCTTTTGGTGTGAGTTCTAATATTATTGATTCTGTATGAAAAGATTGTGGCCATATAGCATCATTGTGAATAATGGTGAAATTATTAAAAGTACCATTGTAAAAGATAAACCAGTGTGTCTCATCTGCAAGCTGTAGCAGTCTTCAAAGACTATAACATTTCCTGTCATTTCAAATCTAAGCATAAGAATTCCAATTAAGAAGCAATGTCCAAATATGAAAGAAAACAAAATGCAGAAGGTCTTTGTAAAAAGTTATCAGGCTGACAAATTTTTTTCAAGAAGGTAAACAGTATCCAAGAGGCTACAATGTAACACATGCAAGTTACATTGTAGCATACAATAATGCTAAAAATAATAAAGCTCTTAGTGATGGGAAGTTCATTAAACAATGCATGCTCCAAGTTTGTGATGTTTTTTATGTCCAGACAAGAAAAATAATTATGAGACTATAAGCTTATCTCGAAAAACGGTGACTTCTAGAATCGAAGACATCGATAAAAATTTGACATCACCATCAGAGTCGAAGATTGGCCAGTTTAAATTTTATTGAATAGCTATGGATGAAAGCACTGATATAAATGATAATGCTCAGTTAGTATTATTATTTATAAGAGCTGTTGATAAGAACTTTGAAATTACCGAGAAACTGGCGTGCATGCGTTCTTTAAAGGGAACTACAATGGGATTTGATATTTTTTGTGAATTTCAGGAAGGGCTTTTAACTTTGGAGGTGACTGTAACAAATATATGCAATATTATGACCGATGAAGCACAAAATATGACAGGAAAAAAATTTGGATTTCTTGGACTCGCTCTCAAACTATCCCGGGAACAATGTTGTTTTTCTACGTTGTGTTAAACAAAAATGCTCTGTGTAAATCTGCAATTGAATATGAAACCCATGCTTGATGCAGTGGTTGAAGCTTGTAAATACTATTCGATCTCGTGGGCTTACTCACAGGCAATTTCGAATCTGGATATTCTGATGTACTGTATTACATGAAAGTAAGGTGGCTTAGTGCAGGATGTGTTTTCAAGCGAGTTTGGCTATTGAAAGACTACACTGTGTCGTTCTTCCATGAGAAATAGTGTTCTGTGGAGTGTGAAATGTTAGAAGATACAGAATGGCTTTCGGACTTTGTGCATTTTTCACAGATCTTCTTTGTCATATAAACAGCTTGAATGTCAAGATGCAAGGGAAAAATCAGTGTATAGATGTTATCTGGGCCCATCTCAAAGCTTTTAAACTAAATCTGTTTGTTGGGCAGCTAGATAAGAATGACTTGTCTCATTTCCCGAGGTTAACTTCAATACCCTCAGTAAATGAAGAGAAGCTTAAGAATTATGAAGATGGCTTAAAAAAACTGCATTTTGAGTTCTAACGCAGATTTCAAGATTTCAGAACCAATTTTAAAATGAATTGGATAATTTTACCATGCCTTTCAATGTAAATTGTGAAGCAGTTAGGTCAGATTTACAGCCTGAATTAACAGCAGTTGTTTCTAAGTATGCCAAACTGAAAGTTTTACAAATCATTATCAAAAACAAGTTTCCCAATTTTAATATCTCATGCCCAGAAAATCAGTGCTATATTTGCTTCATCTTATATATATGAACAAGCGTTTTCAGCTATGAACCTTAGAAAGATATATTTCAGAAGTAGACTGACAGATAAGCATTTAGCCACGTTCCATTGAAGCAGTACATCTCACTTCGAACCTCAGTGTAAGGAACTTTCAAAAATAAAATCGCAATTTCATTCATCTCATTAACATATTTAAATTGTAATATATTGTATATCGTTTTTAAAATTTCAGAAAAATTTTTCTTGGTCAGCAAAGTTTTTTTTTTTTTTTTTTTTTTTTTTTTTCCGATTTTTGTCCCACGGCCGAAAAAGTTTGCCCATCCCTGTGCTAAACAGAGCAAGAATGTAGAATGCTGTGAAACACTTAGCAAAAAAAAAAAAAAAAGCAGCCTAAAGCTGAAAGCAGGCTTGTTAGCTTTCAGCTTTAGGCGTACAATGAATTGGAAGTTGATCCGTCAGCACTATCCTTATCTTCAGGGCAGATGTTTTTATTTTATTCAGCTTATAATTCCTTACTAAATGTAGCATTTCATCTCAATGTACTCCATTTTTGATATGATTTAAATCAAATTCCTCGTCATTATAAATATGACGAATACACATCAGATAGTTTTCTGGTTGCAATTTCTAATTTCGACTATGCGTAATGTATGCTTTACGAATGCGCGCGTTGAAAGAAATGTTTAATAAAGTAAACAAATAAATATAAAGCTCTTCTTTTTTGTAAATTTTGATACCCTTTAGATCATAATTGCTCTTTATTTCATAAGTTATGGTTTCATATTTTTAATTTTATAATTTCTACATGCCATCTTACCAGATTTAAACTGATGATCTATAATCCGGAATCACCGAAGTCCCAACGAGTCTGGATTAAAGATTTTTGACTGTATATATACTCGGGCAGTTAAAGCATCGGCTGTGCAAAGCCTATATATACGACCACAACAGTTAAGGCGTTAAGAATGTTAAACACAATGCAAAATGCATCTAGAGTGAAGTTCACATGGAGATCTCTCAATACTCATCTGAACTCTAAACTATACTGAAAAATGATGCTTTCCATGGTCTTGTATAGTTTTCCCTCTGCTGCTTAAAAATTTCCACTACCTTTGATTTTTCGAAATTGTCAGAAGGCATATACAAAGAGCTACATACATGTTATAGTTATATAGGAATCATGTTAGTTACACATATACAGGGACCAGACCAAAATTTCGCCATGTTTGGTGGACATCAAAAATTAATTGCCAAAGCCATTGCCGGCTTGCTACTATCTCATAAATTTGGTTGGGTAGACATTTCTTCGTCAACGGCTCGACAGCCTTGGCTGGGCCCTGGCCTTCTCCAGGCATCTCTACTATTGGCAACTGTTTTCCCAGTTTTTAACCATTAAAATATTAAGCTCTTTTTCGACACAATTAATTCATTAATTGTGTAAAGATTTTCTTGCAGCAACAATCTTCATTTATTTTCACCAGATGGCCAGCCCATTCAAGTCTCTGTAATTTGATGAATTTTACAATATCAGGTTGTTTGTAAATTTCATAGAGTTCTGAATTAGACCTTCTTCTCCGTGATCCATTCACTTGAACCCCACCAAGAATGTAATGGCAAATCTTTCGCTCAAAAATTCCCAAAGTTTCTTCATCACATAAAGTCAATGCATAAGTCAAGATAGATCTTATAAAACTTTTGTAAAGAAGCAATTTAGTTCTTAATTTAAGAAAAGTGTATTTTAAATAACTTTTCAGGGCATAAAAACATCTATTTGCAGCAATGATTCTTTTATATATTTTTAGGTCCAGCACTTTTTATTATTTATCTTTGTTCCCAAATAATACTGTTAACTTTTTCAAATTTATAATTGCCAATTTCTAAGTGACTAAGTTGTAAGTCAGACTTTAAGCAAGGTAAATATTTAGTTTTATTTTCGTTTACAAAATAAATTAATTAAGATAGACATTTACTTCAATGTTAAACGGACTTGCGCCTGTAATCTTATTTTTCCAACAGACCTTCACTTGCTAGAGACATTTCATGTTATGCCATACAAGAGATGCTAATAATTTTACTAAAATTATTTATTGTATATATATATCGGTTCGTACGGTCCT